TGATTCATATATGCATTTTGAAGCCTTGGATATGTAGAATCCAATGCAACTATAATCAGCCAAAAATGATATCTGTAGAAAAAGTTATGGTCAAAAGAGTAGTCAGATGTCAGAATAACAGAAAATTCAAAATTAAGGCATTTATTTGTAATAGACCCAATTTATTCAAATAAGTATAAAATGGTAAAAACTATAAAAATAATACATATGAAAAGTGTTTATTAATTGAAATAAAATATTAAATGTAAACATAAAATATGTTACATCAGTACCATCGTATGTAATCAGAGTTAAAACTAAGTTCTTCGATATACGAGTCATTAGTCATGACCAATCACTCCTACTCTCTCAGATGTGTAATACATCCCTCAACTTGTCTTGCTAGTTTTCTATTATCTTCCCTTGAAAAGTGAGGTCATGTAAGCATCTGACTGATGAGCATCACGGGGTATGTGTTGAGCCATACCAAATTGATGCATGACTTGATCAGGTTGGTGCCACTCACACACCTAGAAACATCTAAGTGACACTAAAGCTTCCATAATTCTATACCCTCATGATATATTGCAAGCAACAAATTAATCAACTACATTGTATATAGTTACCATACAATCTGCATTCTATCAACAAATATTAATCTTTATCTATATTGAAATTAGGTAACAAACATTAATAATAAAAACATGCACAAGTATGCAAAGACCTAAAATAAATACCTCTTCACGAGTCAAGTGATCAAATTATTTCTATAATAATGAAGGTCCTTCTTTTCCTTCCTATAACTCTTGTTTGTCAACCGCCTGCGAAAAATGTTACCAAAATAAGTCTTATATAACAAAATGAGTGGATAAAGTATATTATCCAACCAATGTAGAGAGAATTGCATACAATATCTCGCATAATACGAAAGATCTTATTGTATTACTAAGAGCTAACTAGGGAAACCTATCCCATGCCCACATGACAACCAATGCAACAAGGAAAATCTTTAGAACTGTTGATTCCAACTATATTCACCAGTAATAGCAAAATCTTGTAATAGAGACAAGTACCTCACTCAAATCTTGCTATAGGAGTGATCGCTCAATATAAGCCCTCTTATCAACCATAACATGTAAGCTCCAGCAAAATTAGTGATCTGAAAAGGACTCTGATCATGCATTGCGATGTGGGTAAAATGTTGATCTAACTAATTCATCTTCAAGAAGCTTCCTGCATAGGCCTCATGCTTTGGTTGAATCCTAAGGTTATCCTCAACCAGATGTGCATAGTCACCTCCAATAGGGAATATTACTGCTCTTCCATCAATCTGCAACCCTAAAAGAATGGAAATGTCCCATAGAGTGAGTGTACACTCTCTAGAAGGCAGGTAGAATGTATGGGTCTCTAACCTTTATCTCTCTACTAGTGTAGTGATAAATGAGAGATGTTGTGGGAATTGAGACAACTGTCCTATTCTATCAAATCTAGTAAGCTCTAAATGGAGAAGTTCTCAATTGGAACACCTTCCAAACTAGCTAGAACAAATTGAGCTTTCTTAACGTTCAAAATAAGGTGATCTCAACCATCCCAAATAAGCTCAAATACATGAATGCTCTAATGTTGTAACAATAAACGATCCTCTAGTCTAGTATTAATGATCATTCTCTGCCTAGAAGACGAGCTTGCTTATTGCCTAACCATATTACCAAATATTGCCTTCAACTTCTGCAATGTAGCAACTCACCAATAGCAAACTATGCTTCTGCTCCTCAACCTGTGGCACCTAGTTGGGTGTTTGACACTAGTGCTAGCCATAAGGTGATCACCAACCTCAAAAACATGCATATTCACTCAAAATATGATGGTTCAAAAGAAGTACAAATAGGTGATGGTACATGTTTAAAAATTTCACCTGTTTGCTCTACTACCTTCTCCACCCCTTCTGCTATTTTCAAACTTCATGATGTACTTTGTGTCCTACATGTTAAATACAATTTAATCTTTGTTTCCAAATTCTGCAAAGCCATATAAACATATCTTAAATTTCACCCTAATTTTTTTCATGTGTTAAGAATTAAGTCACATGGACAATGTTGATGTGTAGTCCAAGTAATGGTGATCTCTACACTCATTGCCCAACTCTTTTACCTTCACCAATTGCCTTGTCTTTTACTTGCTCTTCCCTTCCTTTTTGTAATGCTCATTTCAGCCATCCTTCACCAAAAGTACTCTTTAAAATATTGTCTAGCTATGACAAGTTTAGGACTTTAGACAATACAAAATTTCGTTGTAATTCTTGTCATATTAATTAAAGTCACAAACTCTTTTTCTTTGTATCCTCTATTAAACTTCAACTTCTCTTGAACTCTTTTTTTTTAATGTTTGGGAACCCTCTCCTATTGCTTTTGTAAATGAATATAAATATTATCTTGTATTTATGGTTTACTTTACTCGTTATTTGTGGATTTATCCATTAAAAAGCAAAATTGAGGTTATAATTATATTTCTACAGTTTCATAAAAATATTGAAACAATGTTGTCCTACAGAGTTAAATCCCTCTACATTGATGGTGGCATTGAATAAATAAAGTTTCAACATTATTTCAATTCTAGCATGATATCTCACTATGTCAGTCCACCCTACACTCTTGAACATATTAGCATTGCTGAACACACACATTGCCATTTAGTGGATATTGCTTTTACTCTCCTATCACTCTTAGGTTCCACAAAAATTCAAGTGTTTTGAATTTCAAAGGACAATCCATTTAATCAACCACATGCCAATTACTCAACTCAATAACAAGTGTTCTCATGAAACTTTTTTTTGGTTCCTATCCTAATTATCTCAATATGCGATTTTTCGAATGCTTGTGTTACCCTTGGCTTTGCCTATACTTTCAAAATAAACTATGCAATCGGCGCATGCCTTGTGTCTTTCTTGGATATTCTTCTCAACACTATACTTATCAATGTTACATGTAATGCCCCGAATTTTGTAATATTGACCATTGATATATATATATATATATATATATATATATATATGTGTGTGTGTGTGTGTGTGTGTGTGTGTGTGTGTGTGTGTATAAATGTGAATGGATGTTAGAATTTGCACTTGAGTGTGTGACAATGATGTTTGTGTATAAATACATAAGAATGCATATAACTGTATTTATAAATAATTAGATTGGATTGATTTGGCTGAAAAATAGGTTAAAGGTATAATACTGGGGTGTTCTCGCTGTAGCGAGAGGGCCATGAGAGGAAAGGGTGAAACTGCCGCCTTTTTGCTGTAGCGAGAGATGTCTCGTTGTAGCGAGAGAGCAACAGTGAGAGATGCATTTCTAGGTGCAGTCTCGCTGTAGCGAGAGGGTCTCGCTGTAGCGAGAGGGTCTCGCTGTAGCGAGATTCTGCAGAAACTAGGAGGTGAGTTTAATGGTTAGATTTTCATTTCTCACCCCTGTTTACTGTTTCTCGGTTTTCCTTGGTTCTCATGGGGTTCCCTAGTATATCTTAGGACAAAATTCGTGTGGGAGAGCCTCCTTCATCGTTGATTTGGGTGTGAGACTTCAATCCAAGGTAAGAGAGGACTCTACCCTATCTTATTGTGTTTTAATTTTTGTGTATTTGATAAATATTACAATGTGGCTGAGATAAAGGATCGAATATGTGTGTTAATGACAGTTATTATGTGTTTGAATCCAATGTCATGTGTGATGAGATAGTTGAACCCAGTGGGGGTGATTGTGTGTTGTAATATGCTGTTGATTAATGAGGAATTTAATATTGTGAATGAATATGGGCACTTGTGCCATGTGTTGTGAATGAATACGGGCCTAAGTGCCGTGTAATATGAATGAATGTAGGCATTATGCCGTGTGCTGTGAATGAATACTGGAATGTGTATGAATGAGGCGTGTTAAACGCCGTTGTAATGATGCTATGAATGATTCAGCGATACACTAGAGGTGTGGAAGATGAAGACAATAGAAATACTTTGGGGAAGAGAGAGTGGTGGTGACACCAACAATGAGCGTGCATGGGTGCCCCACGGGCCACACACTCTCCTCATGACTAGACCTCTGACCACTACCTTTGCCGAGTGACTCGTAACTGCCCACGCGGTATCCGTGGTGCGGGGGTAACTGGCGACCATTCATTGTATGAAACTGTGATCACAGTGCCATAGTAAGCGTGGCGGCGTGCTGTGAGCGCACGGGTGTGTAAGCTCTTTTGGTGCCGTGAATGCATTGGTGTTGAATGAAAGTGAAATGCTTGAAAATGATTGCTTGTGATTATGCTTGTGTAAAAATGTATTAGAAATAATGTGAAGTATGTGCAAGGTGAGACTCTATGCTTGTTTGTGCGTTGAGTAGTATAGAGTACTCACTCTTACATTCATTTTTCAGGTAATCAAGGCGATCAGCACTGAACTTAGTGAAGGGGTAGATGGAACTGCTATAGGGCTTAGGATATTATTTTGAAACTGTTGTATTTGAAATGGTCCTGTAGCAGTCATTCAATATAAACTTGTAACTCTTTCCTTTATTTCAAAATATTTTATGAAACCATGTGATGAGAATTTTATTTAAATGAAAAATTTTATTATTCCTATTTTTTGAAATTTATTATTTGGAAATTAAATTAAGGTGTTACAATTTTGGTATCAAAGCAATTCATCCAAATCGGACTAGGTATCAGGCTGAAGCATCCTAGCTGAGTGTTGATTGTTTTGTTTGCCTGAACTATTAATGTGTTAATTGATCTAATGTGCTGGAACATGGTTTGCTGAATTGTGGTTAGCTTAGGTTAAACATGGCTGGTAGAGGTAGAGGTAGAAGAGCTTGAAGCTCCAATGACCTCATGAAACACATCACTCAAATTCTGGAGGCCATGGTGCATAACCAAGGCAGAGAGCCAGTTGAGTACCGAGGATTGTCTGCCTTCACTAGGCACGACCTCCAAAGTTTGAGGGTGGATTCAACCTTGAGGGAGCCCAAAGGTGGTTGGCGGATATGGAGAAGGTCTTCAATGCGATGGGGTGCCGCGAGGAGCAGAAGGTGAACTACGCCACCTACTTGCTATGTGGAGAGGCATAAGACTGGTAGAGGTTTGCCGGTCAGACATTGCCACAAGAGGGTGGCTACATTCAGTGAGAGACTTTTAAGACGATTTCCCTAGGGAATTACTTTTCCCAGGATCTGAGGAAGCAGAAGGCCAGAGAGTTCCTTGAGCTGAAGCAAGGTAACATGACAGTGGGAGAGTATACAACAAAGTTCCAAGAGTTGATGAAATACTGGCCTCACTACCAGCATGGGGATGGAGAGGAAGACTTATGTGCTCAGTTTAAGCACGGATTGAGGCCAGACATTCGAGCTGCAGTCAGTGTATTCTAGCTAACAGACTTGCCTACTCTGGTGAGTGATAACCACGTCGTAATGGTTTCAAACAAAACTAGATTCCTCAAACAAGCATGCAATAAAGGGAGTAAACCTAGGTCATCTCACAAGGACACAAATTTATTCTATTTCCAATTTTAAACATGCAACGGTGATTAATTTGGGGGTTTATGATTTAACGATGTATTAAAAACAAAAGTAATTTGAATGAAAGCGGATCAAGACAATGAAAATGAATCTAAAAATAAATTTGAAAAACGAATTTGAATTTAAAATTTGAAAACAAATCTGGAACCGAATTTGATTTTAAAATTTAAAAATAAATCTAAAAACGATTTTGAATTTAAATTTGAATTTAAAATTTGAAAAGAAATATAAAAAAAATAATTGAGAACAAAAATTGAAAAAGAAAATTGAAAACAAAAATTAAAAACAAAAATTAAAAATGAAAATTGAAACAAGAACAATTAAAACTAAAACAAATTAAGCCCCTAAAATACAGCCACAAACTAGGATTACTATATCGAATTTTTTCAAAACTCAAATGAAATAGAAAATAATCGATTGATATTACATTCAAGAACAAAAACTAAATTCAATCAAATTGTGCATCATAAATCTTAATCAGGAACTGCGAGAAGGTAATAAGACAAACTCGGAGCGCTCAATCAATCTAGTAATCCACGCTTGAGATGAGATGATTCGCGACACCAAATAATTAAGAACACAGTAGGATCTGAAGAGGCACAAGCGAATGGAACGAAACAAATTTACTCTAAAAAACAGGAAAGTGTCTTTATAGAAAAATGAAATTATTAAAAGGATAAGATGAAGGGTTCCAAAATCAACCTTTTGACCCCTATATATACTGGTCTTAAATGAAAACGAAAATAAATGGGTCAAGGCCTCTACAAAAAATAAAAAATAAAAAGCCCTACGTATAAAAGGTATGTTTTAGGTCTGATTTTCAAAAATGAATAAAAAATAGGTCTGAGCTCCAAACAACATGATCCATATGTCCAAATTGAAGCTCAGGAAATGAGGAATCCATTATAAAAAGAATCAGCCAAAAAGGAGATCTACAAAAAACGTTATGGTCGAAATAGTGGACAAAGGTCAGAATAGCAAAACTATGAAATATAAGGTAAAAATAACAAGTATTTATGAAAACTCCAATTTAATGCAAGAAATGCAAAAACATGCTAAATGAAATAAATAAAGAAGGAAAGATATTTTGGAAGATGCAATAAGACTATAAATGTGAGCACAAAATATGAGTCATCAGTGAGCAAGAGTAGAATCTTTAAAGGCAACTCGAGGGGCAAGACTGTGGACATTAGGGAAGCCAGTCCAGTGAGGCAAGATAAGAGACTCCCTAGATTCTCCAAAGGGCCATATTCGGGCTCAAGTAATTCACAGTCCCGAGGGAGTTCATCTCAAGAGAAGAGCAGTGGGAGTGGTTTAGGATCAGACTCTTTCAGAGGGCCGATCAAGTGCTTCAGGTGTGGAGGGCCACACCTTGTGAGGGACAGTCCACAGCCACGGGCAAGTTGTGGCAACTGTGGGAAGTCGAGGCACACTGCCAATGTGTGCTAGTCCGCCAAGAGGAGCGGCAGTACTAGTATAGCTTAGAGGCCTGAATCGAGAGGGAGCACAGGGCCGAGTATAGGGTCAAAGCCCATTATTCCTGTTAGGGTCTTTGCTATGAGTGGAGCAGAGGCTTTGCAATCTGAGGAGCTGATCCGAGCTAAATGTGTAATTAAAGGCAGGTTGCTTAACGTGTTATTTGACTTGGGTGCTACGCACTCTTTTGTATTTGTGGACTGTGTGAAGAGTTTGAATCTGTACGTGACTGAATTGTTGTGCAATGTTGTGGTGACTACCCCTACGGGTAAGCCGGTTGTGACATCATGGGTGTGTCTGGGGTGTTCGATAATGGTACATGGTAGGGAGTTTGAGGTGGACTTGATCTGTTTGCCTTTTTTCTATTTAGATGTAATTCTGGGAATGGATTGGCTTGCTGCCAACCATGTGCTGCTGGAATGCAGAGAAAAGACGTTGATCTTCAGTACGATAACGATAGAGGCTCTAAGACTTATGAGTCAGGGTGAGTGGGAGAACATGGTAAATGCCAAGGCCTTTATGGTGATGTTTTCAATGGAGGTTGAAATTCACTACGCTAGAAATTGGCTTTTCGAGCGCCAAATTAGATAGCGGTTAGTAATAACCGCTTTGTATATAAATCTAAGAAAGCAGTTCCGACAGAACCGCTCTCTAATATGTACTTATGAGAGTGGTTCCGATAGAACCACTCTGTAATATGTACTTATGAGAGCGGTTCAAACAAAACCGCTCTCTAACATAAACTTGTGAGAGCGGTTCAACTGGAACCGCTCTCTAATATTGACATTTCAGAGTGGTTCATATGGAACCGCTCTCTAAAATAGACTTCTTAGAGCAGTTGTAAAATAAGCGCTCTAAGAAGTCTATTTTAGAGAGCGGTTCCATATGAATCGCTCTCAGATATCCATATTAGAGAGCGGTTATTTCATAACCGCTCTCAGAAGTTGTATTTTTAAAACCCTAACTGGTTATCCCTGTCGCCCCACCAAGCCTGTACTTCAAAATTCTCTGTGTTTCAGTGTTCTTTGAGAAATTTTTTCCAGAGGAAGAAGCACACCTGACTTCACAATCACACATTGAAGGTATATTCATAATCTTTTCTTTGTTTTCTGGCCATTTTTGGACATTCGCAGTCTCTCATTCTCTCTGTTCACTGATACGAATCTCTGTTTTTGACGTTGAACAGTGACAATGTCTCCTCCATTTGTGGTCTCCTGCTGAACTGCGAGAAATTTGCACTCGTTTCTTAATTCCAGGTTAGTGCATGCCGTTGTGCTTAGAATTTGTATGAACTAAATATTGTTTACATATTGACCATTGCTGCCGCGTGAACAAATGAGCATGAAATGACTTTTTGTTTTGTAAAAGTTGATATGGGCAGGTTGAATCTTAGTTTGTTAACCTCTGAAATGTTGTTGGAATGGTTTTTTAGGATTTGTTGAACATGATAATAGGACACAACTGGTTAGTTATAATGGAAGAGCATGCTGTTGTGTTTGTTAACCTATGATATTAGGCATTTAAAACTTTTGATATTCTTGTTTGTTTTGCCCCCAAAATGTATATTTCCTCTGTGTATGAATGAATTTGATGTTGTATTGTAGAATGTGATGAATGCATGATTCTTGTTAGTGATGAAACTTTGTAGGTTATGATTTACCGTTGTAAAATTGAGTGAAACCATAGTTTCTAGTTTGAGATTGAAAATAATGTTTTAATAAATCATTATTTTGAATCTCAAATTGTCCAAGTTGGACAGTTTGTGAACAAACTTTTTCATTAATTTGTTAGCATTTGCTTCTTATAATGTTGTATTTAATACTTAACAAAATTTGAGTTTGAAACATTTCTCATTGTCTCTTGGTGCATGCTTGATTGAGGTAAATCATCTCATATATTTCAAGTTGTGTACTAGGAGACTAATGCGAAATGCTGCCCAAATTTTGTCAAGTAAAATATACAACATTTAAGTAGCATTTGTTAATTAAGGTTAGAAAAAGTTTGTTCTCAAATGGGATAGGGCCCTACCATGTGAGAGTTAATAAGACATTCATATTTATAATGATCGTAACCGTAGTTGGAGCAAATATGGATCGAAGTTGGATGGTAGTTGATCGTTTAAGTGAAGAATACGAAGACGGAGTCAAAGAGTTTATTAGATTTGCGATTAAGAATGCAACTAATGTGAACCTTATTCCCTATCCTTGTTGGTGTTGTTTGAATATGTTACAAGTAAATGCGGAAGAATTGGAAGAACATCTAATGTGCAATTGGATAGATGAAAAATATGCTTGTTGGACAAAGCATGGTGAGATACAAGGTGGAAGTACATCAACTAACATGGAATCAAGTGTCAATTACTCAGAGACATTTAGAACAAATGAGAGTGATCATGCTGAACAAATTCCAAATGTTGTTGAAGAAGATCATAGAGATTGTCCAAAGATGTTTGAGAGGCTGAAAGATGATGCAGAAACACCACTGTATAATGGATGTACAAAGTTCACAAGATTAAGTTCTATTTTTAAGCTTTATAACTTAAAAGCGTCGAATGGATGGACTGATAAGAGCTTCACAAAGTTGGTAAGTTTATTACATGAGATGCTGCCGGAGGATAATGTGCTACCGAAGAGAACACATGAGGCTAAACAAGTACTTGCTTCCGTTGGATTGACCCATGAAAAGATACATGCTTGTCCTAATGACTGCATTTTGTTCCGAAATGAGTATGCATCACTAAGGAGATGTCGAAAGTGTAATGTATCACGATACCTAAAGAAAGGCACAACACCTGCGAAGGTTGTGTGGTATTTTCCACTAATATCGAGGTTAAGACGTCTTTTTCGCAGTGCTGATAATGCAAAGCAGATGACTTGGCATGCTGAAGGCCGAATTAGAGATGGAAAGCTTAGGCATCCAACAGATTCTCCGCAGTGGAAAAAATTTGACGATGACCATGAAGAGTTTGCAACTGAAACAAGGAATTTACGTTTTGCATTAGCAACCGATGGAATGAATCCACATGGCATGCAAAGTAGCACCCATAGTACATGGCTCGTGATTTTAATAATGTATAACTTACCTTCATAGCTTTGCATGAAGCGAAAATATATGATGCTTTCGTTGTTAATCTCTGGTCTTAAACAACCTGAAAATGACATTGATGTGTACTTGTCTCTTTTCATTGAAGATTTGAAGTTGTTGTGGGATAATGGCATAGAAGTATATGACGGATTTAGAGATGAAAATTTCACTGTGAAGGCAATGTTGTACGGAACAATTAATGACTTTCCTGCATATGGAAATCTTTCTAGTTACAGCATCAAAGGTCAATGTGCATGTCCAATATGTCAGGAAAAAACAGATTATATAAGACTAGACTATTGTCACAAAAATGTTTTCATGGGGCATTGTAGGTGGTTGTAAAAAAATTATCCTTTTAGAAAAATGAAAAAAACTTTTAATGGAAGTTGCGAAGTACGACGATGTCCTTATTTGAAGAGTGGATCAAAAATATTTGATGAGGTTAAAGACATAAGAACAACAATTGGAAAACCTTTTGCCAAACAAATTCCAACCGCAGGTGGGAAGAAGATGTAAATTTTCTTTCAGTTACAATACTGGGAATCTTTATACGTAAGACACTTTGTTGATGTTATGCATGTTGAAAAAAATGTTTGTGAAAGTGTGATTAGTACGTTATTAAACATTGTGGGAAAGAAGAAAGATGGCATCAATGTAAGACTTGACTTGGTGAAGTTGGGAATACGATCCGATTTGGCTCCAGTGAAGAAGGGAAAACGGACCTTTTTACCTCCAACAACATGTACCCTGTCTAGAAATGAGAAACGTGCTTTATGTGAGACTCTTTATTCAGTCAAGGTTCCAGAGGGATATTCATCAAACATTAAAAGTTTTGTATCACTTAAGGACCTAAAGTTAAAAGGATTGAAGTCTCATGATTGCCATATATTAATAGAGAATTTAATTCCTGTTGCTATACGGTCTATTCTACCTAAAAAGGTTCGCCTGGCAATCACAAAGTTGTGTTTCTTTTTCAAGGCAATATGTAGCAAAGTGATTGATCCTGGGAGATTACCAAGTTTGCAAAACCAAATAGCTGAAACTTTATATGAGCTGGAAATGTATTTTTACCACATTCTTTGATATCATGGTTCATTTGACTATTCACTTGGTTGAAGAGACAAAATTGTGTGGCCCTGCATATATGCGATGGATGTATCCCGTTGAAAGATATATGAAGATTTTAAAAGGGTATGTTAAGAATAGAAGCAAGCCAGAGAGTTGTATTGCTGAACGATATTTAGTGGAAGAAGCAGTTAAATTTTGTTCTGAATATCTGTCAAATGTTGAATCATGTGGCATTCCAAAATCACGTCACCATGGAAGGACTTTAGGGGAAGGTAGCAGTGGTTGTCAACAAATAGAGGTCCTTAGACTGTAATGGGAACAAGCACACTTGTATATATTACAAAACACCCCTGAAATTGAACCATACATAAGCTTGCACAAAGAGACACTAAAGCGTAGAAATCCTACCAGAGGTGAGAATTAGATAACAAAAGAACATAATGTGCGATTCATTGGATGACTACAAGAACATATTGGTGAACAGTTGAAACAGAGGAACACATCGGTTTCAGAATTGATTCTATGGTTGTCAAAAGGTCCTTGTATTGATGCCTTCTCATACACTTCGTACTTAGTAAATGGGTTCACATTTTACACAAAAATAGCATGACGACCAAAGCACAATGCAGAATAGTGGGGTCACTCTGGTTGCTGAATCATTGCATATCTCCAGTGCAAAGGATAAAAATCCAATATATGCAAATATGTCATACTTTGGATTCATTGAACATATATAGGAGTTGGATTACACTAACTTTCGTGTAGCAATCTTTGGATGCAAGTGGGTAGACAACAACAATGGTGTTTGCATTGACGATATA